TAGGCATTTCAAATAGCTCAGCAGCCATTTGTAGTCCTTGTCCAATTTCCTAGCCATTCCTGCAATATTGGTAAAGGAATAAATACCAACAACAACTAATTCAACTATTCAGTGCTTACTTTGTGCTGGGTACTTTGCACATAAAAATGATCTAATCCTCACAGAAAATCTGGGTAACACCATTATTATCATCTCTGCTTCAGAGAAGAGGAAACTGAGGTTCAGAGCCCAGATGGCAGAGTTGGTATTTAAATCAACTAAGTAGGGGTTAACAGACTTTTGTTGTAAAGGGCCAAACAGTAAATATTTTCAGCTTTGTGGGCCATACGGTCTGTTACAACAAACCAGCTCTGCTCTTTTAGTGTGAAAGCAGTCACAGACAATGTATAATAAATAAACACACATAGCTGTGTTCCAATAAAACTTTATTTGCAAAAACAGGTGATAGGCTACATTTGACTTAACAGGTGGTAGACTGGCAACCCCTGCTTTAAACTGTTATTGCTGTATTGCCTGGGTTTAATGAATGACCGAACAAATGAATGGACCAATGAATGAATGAATGACACCTTCTTTGGCACCAGTCCTCCCCTGCTTTGTTCCCCTCAGTTCTCTCGTGAGTGTTCATGAGACTGCTAGAGAGTCATGTCACTGCCAAGGGGAAGAACACCGTAATCACTCTGTAGGGCTGAGTGAGGAGCACAAAGGGAAAAATCTTACAAGAATAGTGTTTTGTTCCTAAGATGGGTTAGGTGAACAACGATTCTAGCTCCCTGAGGCTCTCTTTGGATGGCTGAGATCTAAATCATAACTTTTTGTCCAGGGAATATATTCCCTCTAAGATGGAGTCCTCACATGTCTCACCAGAAACTTCATGCTCTGTTTTAACTGTCTAGTGTCATTATGTTCTATTCTTACCCCCTCCAGCAGCACAGGAGACCTTGCAGGATTTGGAACATGCAGGTTCCCTCTCACTGTTAGGTCTGTGTGTATCCTGTTCTTTCTGCCTGGTAAACTAACTGCCTCACTTCAGTGGCCAAGCTCACCAATTATTTGTTCTTTAGAACTCTGCCGGGATGCCATTTGTCTCTTGGAAGTTGTTCTAAACACTCCACAACAAGTGATTGCCCTTGTTCCGTGTCTAATAATCTCATGCTTGTTTCAATAGTAGTTTTTAATCACTCTACATAGAAATCGTTCTTTTGCTAGTCTGTCTCCCTGATACTGCCAGGGTTTTGAGAGTGGGCACTATCTCTTACTCATTGTAAGTCCAGCACATAATGCAGTGCCTGGCCCAGAGGGTCCCTCAGTAAATATTTGTGAAGTGAGTGATGCACATCAGATTTTCTTAGGAGTGGCTGAGAGAAGCTTTATTCGTATGGTGTTTCATAAACCTTTTCCTACTCTCTCTCTCTTTTTTTAAAGATTTTATTTATTTATTTGACAGAGACAGCGAGAGAGGGAACACAAGCAGGAGGAGTGGGAGAGGGAGAAGCAGGCTTCCCGCCGAGCAGGGAACCTGATGCGGGGCTCGATCCCAGGACCCCGGGATCATGACCCGAGCCCAAGGCAGATGCCCAATTACTGAGCCACCCAGGCATCCCTTGTTCCTATTCTCTTGATATCTCAGGTGATTGGAGGGATGCTCTCTAGGCCTTAGCTCAGCAGAATAGGTAAATGACTGTGACTACTTGTAGCTGGAAAGCCATATGTATAGCATTTGTCTCTCAAGAGTATGAACCACTCAGAAAAACAGGGCTTAGAAAATAAGGTTGTGTGGCTGGCTATAATCCTTGAAGTATATAAAGCCAGTGGCTATGCATGTAGTGGAAAAAGCTTGACCTTGGAGTCAGGCTAATTTAGGTTCACATATCATCTTTTCCACTTTTAAACTTCCCTGAAGTTCAGTTTCCTGATCTATAAAATAGGGATAAAAATATATGTCCTGCAAGGTTTCAGCAATGCGGGGAAGGGATTAAAGGGAATATGTCTAGTACAATGTCATCTGGTAGGTTTTAATGACTGAGCCACCCAGGCACCACCTTTTTTTTTTTAATATTTTATTTATTTATTTGACAGAGAGAGAATCTGGTAGGTTTTAATCACACATGGTAGCTGCAGCCATGAAGTGCTGTCATAACTCTTTGATAACCATATTAGAGAACCGCAGGGTCCAGGATTGCTTGCAAAACCTAAACAGGCTGTCTTGAGTTTAATGATGACACCCACTTGCATTATAAAGGCAACTGCAGATGGGAATTGTCTGCACTCTTGGATCTCCCATCCCTAGTAGAATTAAGGTAAATATATAAGGCTCTGAAGTTCCTATAAGGACACTTTAGTGTGTAGCTCTTGGCCCCTTGTAACAAAGCATGTCAACCTCTGCACGTGTGAGCGCGCATGCGAAAACACACACACCACAGAATTTCTCTTTTTGTTATTAATTAACTTGCCATTGATTAGGAGTACATGAGACATGAGAAACATTACTAAGTTAGATAATATTTTCTTCAACAAAATAACACTAGGGTAAGTGCTCTCATTACTTCCAGGTTCTACTTCACACTGAAATTTAGCCAGAAGGTAATTGGTCGACAGAAGAGCTAACCCCTGCAGAGGAGAGCGTTTGAGCAAGGGTATTCCTTTGCTGGTGGTTAGCTGGGAAGCTGGGGAGGAAAGCGTTATGGGTGTTTTCCACGGCTGCCAATTTCCCTGATGTCTTGGGTGCTGCAAACTGATTTTCCTCTGCCAGCACATTTAGTTTACAAGATGATCTTCACATAAAACACAGTGGTTACATTCATGAGAACACATGCAAAATTAAACCACTGACCCAGTAATCAAATAAAACTTCCATAAATTATTGAGCTTGTTCTTTGCTTTTCTTAAAGCAAACAAGCCCTTTGTCCCTGAATTTTCCAAATAAATGCTCTTGCAACAAATAGGAGCTTTATGGGTCCAGAAGAGGGTGCAAGCAACAGAACTGTGGCCTCCCAGTGAGATCAAAGTCTTCCCTCTGCTTCCTGGACATGGGTTAGGGCTCTCATGCCTGGCTTTACTAACACAGGCTGGACACATAAGGTAGCACCTTGGGGACATTACTTGGTAAATCAGAACTCTGGATAAATTGGACATAAGGTCTCACAATGATTTGCACATCACCCAGGCGGCCTCAGGTAGAACCTGCTCCATATGGTGACTTATGTTAGGCCGATAAAATGCCTTATTTAGCATCAACAGGAGCCTCTGTTTTTCTTCGTGGGCAGCACAAATCAAGAACACACATGATAGCATATCCTCTATTATAAACAATACTGTGGAGGAAGAAAGAATGGGAATATAAAACCCATAGAATGTATTTAATAGGTTATCTTGCCCACTAACCATACATAACTGCTAACACATGGCAAAATCTTTGGATTTTACCATTCTGGTCATCTTTGGAGAGTTTCTGTGTTTGTTGTTTATCATCCTCGTTATTATCAATCATCCAATGAGCTACCTGTGAGGCACTGTGGCAGGAGTTATGGAGGATGCCAAGGAAGAAGTAGGAGACATAGTCCTTGCTGGAGATGAAATGCCCACCCGGTAATGGTGATAGCTGCCTGGGAATGGCCTTCAGGTGAGAGAGGGAGCTCATTGGCCTCTTGAACTCAGATTAATTTGGGAATTCTAAATAAACCTCCAGGAATTCTATTTGTTCAGGACATGCAAATCTCTTTGGAGAACTGTCTAGGGAAAAGGGAGGGCTTTGGCCCTGGCGAGTCGGGGTTCCAAGCCCTGGCTTATTTCTAAGGTTGGTGACTGAAAGCCAAGGTGAAAAAGTATCTACGGTGTAAGGCAGTATATCAGGATATATAGGTTTGTCCACGTGTGGCACCCAGTACGAAAGTACCTTCCGGTATTTGCTCTTAGGCGAATCCTGTTGGTTGAGGACTGGCCTATTGCAAACTATGCTGTGATTCTGTGAGTCCTTCCCAGGTTGTCCCAGGGCCTTCTTTTCCTACATTTGATTTTCCTTAACAGTTCCTATAGCACTCACAGGGAGATGGAGTCATTTGGATGCCTTTTACGGCAGGGCACTGGTGTGCTCGGGTACAATGGGAGAATTTCTTCTAGCTTTCCTTGCCTAGACATGACTCCACACTGACAGCTTCCGCCTTTGTGTTCTCCTTCTTCTATCTCAGCACTTACAATATTTTGTTGCAGTTAGGAATTTCAACTTATGTGGACTAGATTATGAGCTTCTTGAGAACAGGAACCACATCTCCTTTCACTTCTGTATATGAAGTGCCTAGTACAGCACCTGGTGCAGGGCAAACCCCCATTCAGTGTTCGCAATTCTGTGAATGGGAATTGAGGAAGCCTTCCCAGATTATGGAAAAGGACACACCTGAGCCCCACCCACCCTGATTTTTCTTGGTCAGTGATTATGTCTACATTATCCCATGCAATTAAATGTCAGCATAAGCCAATCCCATGCAATTAAATGTCAGCATAAGCCAAGGGAACAAAGAATGCAGTGACTCTAAAATCATTATTCTGTGGTCTCAGGGCCCATTGGCAATAGCACTGCCTTACTTTCCTGGTAGGCTTGATTAATATTAATTAACGTCTCTCTCCTGAATGCATTTCAATTAATGGAAGGGAGAGCAGCTCTCAGGTGTGTTGGATGAGGGACCAACTGGACTGTTGTTAACATTTCAATTGAAGAGTTCACACGTGGTTAAAAATCTATACTGCTATATATGCTTTGGTAGAATAAATGTTCATCATTTTCAATATTTATTGACTGCCTACTGTGCACCAAATACTCTCTTGGCAGGATGTTTCCCGAATGAGCTCCTAATTTACTTCAGGGATTTGGCTATGGATGTAATTTAACATGATTGGAGAGAAAAATGGCTTCATTAATCAAACTGATGAATTTGTAAATTAAAATATATGAATCAGGATTTATGCTCCTATAGTACATTTATTATAATAAATATTAAAGTCTAGTGCTTGCTTCAGCAGCACATATACTAAAATTGAAATGATACATTAAAGATGAACATGGCCCTTGCACAAGGATGACACACAAATTTGTGAAGCATTCCTTGTTTTTAAAAAAATACGTTAGAAGTCTACATCTAGACTACATTAAATTAATATTTTAATGAAGAAAAGGTCATTTAAAAATTCACTTGCAAATTATTTAGCTTATAGGCTTTGTCCTAAGTCTACTGATAATTTGAGAACATATTTAATGTGTAGGCTGTGTTTTCTTTGGAATTTGCCTATTGTGTAAAATGATTATTTAGTAGTTGAAACAGGGCGGAACTTCCTTCACTTTGAAGTGCATGTGTTTGGGCATATTTCTCCCGAGGTATTTCAGAGTGATTATTTTCTTTGCTCTTCTTGTATTAATACTGCCGAATCTTTTTTTAATAAGAGAAGCTGGTTGCAGTTTCAGCTGTAAAATAGGCAAAGAACTTTCTCGGTAAAAACCAAAAGTCTCCTCTATATAATTGACCAGAAGGAGGCTCCCTTCCACCTCACTGTGTAAAGTTAGGCTAAAAGCTTCCAAACGTAATTCTTCCCAGGCGGTTCTAATACTCCCCAGGCTGTCTCTAGCATTGGTGGTGGTAGGGGCAGCACTATGAAATTTTCCTTTAGGGAACAGAATTTAAGCTTGCATCATGAATAAGAAGATTTCAGAGAGTATAAAGTGCTCTTTCCTTACACCAGTTCATTTATATATTTTTCTCCTTCCTGAATGACAATTAACAAAGATATTGGGATAAAATTTTCCTCAGTTTGGATATCTCAATATTCCTTAGCTTACTGCTTAAGCTTTGTTTTCCTTATGGCTTTGTTTTGTCAAGGTTGTCCAATACAATACATTTTTTAATAGCATTTTGTTTTATTTTATTTTTTGAGTATAGGCCCTTTGTCCAATGTGGGGCTTGAATTCACAACCCTGAGATCGAGAGCTGTATGCTCTACAGACTGAGCCAGCCAGGTACCCCAAGTCCAATACAAAATTTTAAAAATTAATATTTTGAGATGAATCAGTAAGGCATTTGGATTTTTTTAAAAAGTATAGTTGTTGTCTCTACCTACCTATTCATCTTAGTCTCTACGCATCTATAAGTAAGAGATACATGTTTTAAAACATAGGATAATCACCATTCACCGTGGAGGCTCTAATTACATTGCGTTTGGCAATGAAAAGGTCACTAGTAGATTTGGAACAGAAACAAAAAGTGCAAAGTCTTTGGAGAGTAAAGAGGGATGTGAGAGGTATCCACCACTGTGAGTACACAGTCCATTATATGATGTCACGAGGTCATTTTGAATCAATTTATTTTCAGGTCGTTCTTCATTGTTAAGGAAGGCAGGGTTATTGTAAAAACAGCATTGCTGCGCTTTTCAGAAGCCTTGCCCTTTAATGATGGAGCAGAGTTGGTTATGAAATACCCAACTGTGACTAATTTTGGAGGAGTAACATGTAGCAGAAGAAAAAGTCAGAGAATTCCAAGTGTGCTGTTTGTGGTTCTGAGATCTAAGGGGTCACATGTTGGGCCTGGCCAGAAGCCTTTAGAGAAGGACAGCCCCTGGTTGACAACCTGCAAGGAAATGGAGGCTTGTCTTACAACCCCAAAGAACTTAATTCAGCCAACAACATGAATGAGCTTGGAATTAGATTCTTCTGCAGAGCTTCTGGTAAGAAGTGCAGCCCTGCCAACATTTTGATTTTCCCTTGCTAATATCCATGTCAGGCTTATACCCTACAGAAGCTGTGAGATCATAAATTTGTGTTGTTTTAAGTGACTGAGTTTGCGTTAATTTGTTATAGCAGCAACAGAAACCTAAATCACAGGAAATATTTTGAAGGAACTGGTACTTGGGTTGGATTGTCACTGTGGTGGTATACTGTTACAATGAACCGTGTCTCCAAGAATTTCATCCAGTGACTCTGGGCTTTAGCCATTGAGTGTTAACAAATGGGTTCAAAGCAGAAGCTTGACAAATATATTCATTTCCTATTGCTATTTTAAATTGCACCAACTTTCTGGCTTAAAATAAAGTTATTATCTTACAGTTCTGTAGGTCAGAAGTCACACTGAGCTAAAATTAAAGTGTCAGCAGGACTGTGTTCCTTCTGGAGGCCCTGGAGAAGAATCTATTCCTTTGCCTTGTCCAGCTTCTAGAGTTGCCTGTATTCCTTGGCTTGTGGCCCCTTCCTTCATTTTCAAAGCCATCTGCATAACATCTTCAAATCTGTCTTACTCCTGCCTCCCTCTTACAAGGACTCTTGTGATTATATTAACACTCCTGGATAATCCAGGCTAATCTTTCCATCTCACCTTAATTACATCTGCAGTCTCTTTTGCCATGAAAATAACATATTCATAGGCTTCAGGGATTAGAGCATGGCTATCTTTGTGGGGGCATTATTTTACCTACCACAATAACTGTTTGCATGCCAGATTTATACTCTTAGAATGCTCACTCTTACAATGTTTCTTCTAGGAACACAGTTCCTATGCTATAAGGAAAACCAAGCAACCATGTAGAGAGGTCTCCATAGGGAAGAACCAAGGCCTCTGGCAAACATTCCCAACTGAGCTCCCAGCTAGCTGCCACCACCAACTCCTTGCCATGGGAGTGAGGCCACTATAATAAACCTTACAGCTAATCTAGTGCCCAAGACATCACCGCAGAGCAGAGCTTTCTGGTCAACCCACAGAATCATGAAGGATGATAAATTGTGATTGTTATTTTCAACTCCTAAAGTTTTGGGGTGGTATGTTATGCAGCAATGGGTACTTGAAATAATGCTAGTCTATTTTATAACCACCTAACTACTTGAAATCGAGGGATTCTGACCAGAGGAAGACGGTTCTTCTATCAAGTATTCAGTATGAAACAGGTGACATAGGTCAAAATACATAAAGTCCCTAGGTTAGCACCTGGCACATAGTAGGTACTGTAAAAGCATGAATTATCTTTTCCCAAGTAGTCTTTTTGCTGTAGACTTTGACACCTACCTCCCTATTAAAAGAGAAGATTTCTCTCTGCTAGAGAAATTTATTTAATATGGTATGTAACAAAACATAATGTATCATCTGATAATTTTGCCTGGTGGTCCATAACTTAAAGTTATAAAGCCTTAACCTGAACAATGTCTATATTCCAAAAAGATCTTTTCTCAAAAAATACATCTTAACTAAATTTTAGAATATGAAGTAGAGTCTTGCAGTTCATATTGTTTAATTGCACTGTCACACAAGAATCTTGGAATTTTTCTTAGTTTGTTCAATTGCTGTAAATGACTTCTGAAAGTAATATAATTACAACTTGTTATGGTTTATGCATTCATAGAATTCATAGAGCAAGCTGAGGATGTAACTGTTCATTTGAAGCTGAGATGATTAGCATTTGAAAACAGTTAATGGGGGAGCTGATTAGAATACATTGCAAAGAGTCATGATTTAATTTCACATCACCTAGAAAAATTTGATGTCATGCGTGTTAATGGCAGTTTTGAGGGGCATAAAGATTGCCAGGTTTTCCTGAGCTAAGCGATATGGCCATGCTGACTCAGTGAAAAACTCACATTTCAAAATACATGAAGTAAGTAATACAATGCAACCTTATGTGATTAAACTCACCACCTGAGTATTAAAAATATGAGTGAAGTTGGTAAGTAAAGTTTAAGCTCATTTAAAGCAGTGCACTATGAGATTTGGATGGAAATTCAGCTCACTGGGGGTTTTCAGGTTTTCATAGCAAAACTACTTGAATGGATTATGTTTACTTTGTGTTCAACTTGCTTTTTCCCCTCCCCACCTTGGAATCTCCACATTGAAGCTAGAGAGATTTTTTAAAAACTCACAAATCTATCCTGTCATTCCCCCGCTTAAAGCTCTTTAGTGGTTCTCCGCTGCTGCCACATAAAGTCCAAATTTCTTAGCTCAGCAGACAGGGTTCTGTGTGATTTGCCATTGCTGATTCTGCAGTCTTATCTCTTGACAGTTTCCTTCAGTGGCTCCAGACATGGAGAAGAACTTGTAATTCTTTTTCTTCTCTAGGCTACTTTCAGCCACGTGGCGTGGCTATTCCCTACACATCTGTAACATCTTGCTTAATTGTCGCTTCGTCTTAGGAAGCTTTTCTTGACCCCCTTCCTCAGTAGCCCAAAATCAACTTCATGTGCATCTCTAGTACCTCAGTTTTACTCATTTGATGGCATTGATTGAGCCAAATCACAATTGCTTGTTCAATTGTCAACTGCCCTCCATCGAGCATAAGCACACTGCAGGGAGTACTGTGTCAGGTTCATTTTTTAATCGAATGCTGAGTACAGTGCCTGGCATATAGAGGAACTTGATACAAATTCACTACATGAAGAAAGATGTATTTGTTCAAAGTGAGCAGAATATTAAAGAACCATTACCAGTGCCTTGCATTTAGGAGGTACTGGGTATACGTTCATTCATTCATCCCTTATCATGGATCTGCACCAGGGGTTCATCATTAGTCATATGCCGTTTCTCACTGGTTTACCAAAGGAGTAAGCTGTTGAACTGTATGGTAACATCATATAGAGTAATTTTCTTGGCATGAAATAGGTTGGATTCTTCTCATTTTTTTTTTGATGGCATCTTTTTTTTTTTTTTTTAAGTAGGCTCCATGCCCATCGTGGAGCTCAGTGAGGGGCTTGAACTCATGACCTTGAGATCAAGAGTCAGACACTTAACAGACTGAACCACACAGGCACCCCAAGACTTTGTGTCTTATGACCTTTTACATACTCACTTTCAGGTCTGTATTGCTCCTTCTAAATTAGATCTCAGACCAGATGGTTTCTCCTCAGAGAGCTTTTCTTGACCACTAAATCCACATCCTCCCCATATCCTATCTCTAGTTGTTGATCTCCAGTAACTCTCACATCAAGGAGCTTCAGTATCTTCCATTATACCTATCACTCCATAAAACTATCTCACTTATGAATTTCTTTTACTTATTGACTATAAGCACCTTCCAGAGTGAGAGTCTCTGAGAACAGAGCCTTGTCTGTTGCTCCAGTGTTTCGAACACTGCCTGTCATGTGGTGGG